GTGTAGATATGTGGACTGTGTGAAAGAGTCAGTGAATTTAAAAACAACAAAAGACGGATATTGTCAGCAGGTTCCAGCAACCTCAATCAACATCTACACTCTTGTGGTGTCCATGTAACCGTTAAAACAGAGGCAGAAGGAGAACAACAAGAGGTGGATACAGGGAAGGACACAGACGGGTTATGTTGAGATGACAAAAGACATGCTGAAGATGCAAACAAACTGTTGACACAAAGATATTGAAACAAAAGCAACAAGAGTTCAAAGTGTGAGCGAGTATAGTCTTGTTTACGTAGCGCGAGCTCCGAGCATGAACGGACGCGTTTACACTCTATGCGCTGCAATATTCTCCGATACGCTAGAGGAGGTACAAACAGAATGAACTGTGAAGAATCAAAGAAGACAACGAGTGTAACCCACAGATATGCCCATAGACTGTAGAAGTAACCAGCAAAAAGCAATACAATCGACCTCCACAGTGACGAGGAGGGATTGTAATAAACTCATATTCATAAACTACTTTATTGCATTTGTACAAGCAATGCAAAGAAAAAGTCAAGTATTACAAGTATTACATGTATTGTGAAGAAACAACGGCTAAACAATTTGATTTGGCAAAAAATATACTCAAATTAAGATTTTCAAGACCACCCGCTTCTAAAGCATTTAAAATCCAAGTTGAGTTGGAGAGAGGCTGTGAGAGAGCTGCACAATTACACACATCTAGCTGCCGAAAGACCGACTCCTTCAGAACTCCAGTGGACATTGGATCAGTTACATCAACAGGGACCTGAGACTAACACGCAAACAGCAGGAGTAACTCATTCAAAATGAATTCACACATGCATCTCTCACACATACGTTTACCTACACTCAGAAACGTACCGCCTCCAGTCCAACCACCTATGCCACCCTCTGCCGGGCCTCCATCGGCTCCCAGCCGCTCTCTTCTCACCGACTGATCCCCCCCCTTGTATTTTCCCTGTATTGACCATCTCTTCCCTCTTAGAAGTACATCTTTTTTTTGTCAAACCAGATCAGAGCCCCTCTATTGGGTTTAAAGTTAATTTGAGGGCACCGTCCTCTACCCCCAGGATCTTCTCTTGCTTACCAACGTAGCCGCTTTGTTGTTTATTTGGAGTGACAGAGGAGCAGGGAACCCCTGCTACTTGGTCGATCCAAGTGAAAGAGTTTCTCTTCAAACTGGAGGGGGGGGGGGTTGCCTGGGAGACAAGACAAAGGAAAGTAAAAGCAAAAACAGAGTACATGTTTCCACCTCTGCTGCCGGCAGAAGGATGGAGAGGAGTGGAGGGGTAAAGGTAGAGTGGCAGGAGCGTCTGCCCCTCTGCTGCTTTGGGCAACCCATTAAAACAATCCCTCCATTAGACAAATGGGAGGGAGGAGGGGTACAGGAAGGGTTGACTGATCCAAAGGGGAGGGAGAGATGAATGTGGCTGAGAGAGGACCGGCATTGACAGAGGTGGGTAAGAATGAGGATAGGACAGCAGCCACTACAGAGGAGGATTTATCCACACGGACCTAATTGGCAGCAGTTTAAAGCATTTGTTGTGCTTCTACATTTTCTATGCTCGAGTCTAAATTGTGCAGACATGGGCTCTCATAGTCTTTTTTACCTCATTAGACATGTTAACTTCCTAAGGGGGGTAAGCAAAGTCGTGTAAATAGTAAATGAGATAAGACAAATACAGATAAAGACACAAATGTGAGCACTACAAACTGTACAAAACAGGCATGAAAGCACGAGGCACAAAGAGGCCAGAAGTTTGAGGAGGGACTACTGCAGAGAGAAGAGGAGGGATTGAAGAGGACAGGATATCATTAGCTTTCATGCTGAGCGCAGGTGACTAGCACAGGAAGAATGGACTAAGTATCTCTCCATCTCGCTCGCTCTCTCCCAACAAGCAGGACTCATTCTGGAAATGGAAAGCAGGTCGAATAAAAAGGTGTGTAGTGTTGGTCCGGCTGGCCAGCTGCTTCACTTGAGTGAGAGAATATTCAACTATAAATCAGCCCTGAGGCCTCCTCTGGCTAACTTAACAATGGAATTGGCACTCAGATATAAAAAACAAAAGCAGTCCGTTTTTTTATTTATTTCAATATAAAGCAACCGCTTTACCTTTAAAGCGCTTCACAGCTACAACATGAAGCATAACCCTTCCACCACCTTTGCTCCAAATACATACAAACACAGACCTATACATGTTCCATGTTACTGTTCTTTTGTGCGCTGTGCGTTCCAGGTCTGAATGAAATGAATCCAGATAATGACTCTCCAGCCAGTGCCTACCCCTCGAGATCGAAATCCATTTGGATGGAAATACAATACAGTCATTCTCTCCATTGATTGGTGCTATCCTACACGTCATTGACAAGCTACCATGACAGAGTATGGGTCGTAGGTCACAGCAGACCAATACATTCTGCAGATGACTACTTCACCACCATAGTCTGTTTTTGGGTTGTTGTTGTTTGACTCTTTGTCTCAGTTCTTCCTGATCTCCCTTTCTAGCACTAATACACACACACACACATAGAGCTTGATGCTTTCCCTCAAAGCCAGCAGGGTACACAGAGATAGACACATAGAACACAAATGGCTAGACAAGCTATAGGCGGACAGTCCAGAAGGGGCCTTTGATTTTGTATGCATGTTCAGCTGGGTTTTTTCTTGCTCTCCCAGACAGTTGCTCAGTCTCTAATGCACATGCATGCAGGCACTTTTTGTGACAGTACAGACAAAAACATAAGAGGTATACGTGTGGAATTTGGACTGGTAAAATATTGTTTTGTGCATTAAATTACATTTCTTTCACCGTGTAGTAGAATTATGTGCCCAGAACAAAAATAAACACGTGTGGTGACTAAGTTAGGAGTTGCTTCCTGAGTGAAATGACTGGATTCGTAGTCGTTGGATGTAGAATCAGAATGAGTAGCCAGTCTGCTCAGGATAGAGCAAAAGAATCCCTGAGCAACTATCAAATATGTCTCTTCGTTTTGACAGTCAATAATTAAAATGTACACGACAGAAAGTTCTGCCTCGTACCATACAGGTGAAACTAAATGAAGCTCACAAATAGTCAAAATTGCACTAAATGTCGACAGAATACTGTTGGTATATTACTTCATGTTTTCTGGGAATACCCTTCTGCGTCAAAATGTGTATAGTTTGTGTTAAATACTGTTCATTTGTGGTCGATGTGACATTTGACAGAGCCAATGAAAAGTTCATCAAAAAAAACAATCCGTCTTATGATGATTTGTACATTACACGTGCAGAACAAAATCTCTTTTTTTAGCTTTTTGTTTAACTATGAAATTACCAATAAAAAAATATTCCCCAAAGCACCACAGAAGGCCACTACCAACAACGCATGCTTCTAACCTGAGAAGCCTGTTAGGTGTGCTGAAATGAAAGCGTTCCCATTGCCTTGCTGAAAGTGAAACTCTAGCTGTGCCATTTCTATGTTGTTTGGTATGCTGCACTGCCAACGCTGCGAGTGGCCTCACATGTATTCTCCATCTAGCACCAGTCTATTCACACTCTCTGTACATTTTACGTTGCAATGAAGCACAAATATCAAAGCGTGTTTTACCCAGATAGTGACCGGTAGAGAACCCCCTATCTCAACCTTAATATGCCCATCCAGCTCTCAGGCAACCGTTGGTATAATCAGAGTTCATACACATCTTCACCAATATTCATTCCTAAGACTTCCCCGTGCCATCGAGGATCATACATTCTCTAAAAAGTCTGCGTACATAAAAGATAAAATAAAAAGGGACAGAGTCTTACATTACCCCACGCAGAGAATAATGTAACATTAAGTGATGCATCTGATCTGCTCAGACGTTTTAAGTATTGTTTCCAAAACATATCCAGACCTGGAAATTGCCATTTTCAAATTCCAGGACGTTTCCATGTTTTTCAGGACCTTACAAACCCTGTTGTTTTGTGGAGGCCATGTGCCATGGGTCATGTTCTTTCATAGAACACCACACATCATATGTTGTTGTTTAGTTTGTCTCTTGTCCAAAGTGGTGACGGTTCAGATTTACAGTATTATGATTTTAGTATGTGGATGTGAAAACAAACCTGCATCTTTAACAGCGATACAAGAGTGTAGATCAAATGAACAGACATATATGAGGTATCCCTGTTTTCATTTACAGGCTACAGAGCCAAACTCCTTCATCATTTTGTACACAGGCCTAGTTTAGACAAAGACATGTCTTAAGAAAAACTGTCTGGGTGACTAACTATTCACAGCAGTTCAATAAGCACACCACACATGGCTGCTGCTGTTCATGTACCTACTGCATGTGCGAACGGTGCACCACATCCCCACTGCAGCTCTGTTGCAAGCAAATACAACAAATGTGTTCACACATGCACGGACACTTCTGCCACGCCAACCCGACAGCTCGCTCCTCTCAACTTGCCTCTGAAAACATCCCGAAGGTATTTACCGCCTCGACGACTATCTCTGCAACTTGCAGGTATGTGAAGGCAAAAGTCGAGTGAAACGTCTGATTCGTTTACCTCTACCGGTCGTAGGGTACACCACCACATACATAGTCAATTACAATGACAACTGGCGGCATTTACCTGCTGCCGGGATGCGGTGCGCTCCGGGGACCGAAGACAGCCTCTGAATGCCGGGGGAGGCGTTACTTCCTGGGGCTCGCGGCTGGTTCTCCGGGAGGTTGCCGTGAGCTCCAAGTGGTGCGCAACCGGCACCGTGTTGCTGTGGATGTAGTTGCTGCTGCTGCTGCTGCTGCTGCTGCTGCTGGTGGTGGTGGTGGTGGAGATGATGGTTAGATCCCATGACTCCGCTGCCGGTAATTCCATTGCCATTCCCACCACCGTACTGCTGGTAATATCCAGACCGAGAACGCGATCGAGTCCTTGGGGGCTCCATGGCCATTTGGTGGGGGTGAAGTGGGTGGAAGAGAAAAGAGGAGGACGCGGCTGGAGACTGCGGCGGAGAGCCGTTGGTGGATCCGGGCTGTGCAAAGCCCCTAGCGCCGCTCTGGCTGTAACTGTAGCCCGGTCCTCTGCCCCCCTCCGCGCCCCCGTACTCTGTTCGCTCCGCCGACTCCGCCGCCCCCGCCTCCTCGAATAAATCAGCCCCTTTAGGGCCAGGCTCCGGGGTGGAGGGCAGCCGGGGGCAAACTCTAGGCTCCTGAGTCGTTGGCTGTCCAGTGGCTGCGATTGGCATTTCCTTTCGGGGGATTTCCTCTTTTTTTTTTTTCTTGCGTTTTCCTCTCGTTTCCTCTCACAGACGAAGCGTTTAGTCACTGTTTATAAATACAAAGTTAGAGTTAAACTGAGCTCTTTGTTGCTGTTCGCACAAACACGGAGATGTGAAGAAACACAGCTCATCTAACGTGTGTGTGGCCCAACTTTAGGTAACGTTACTACTTCCCTCAAGTTTGCCTAAGTAACGTTCGTAACGTTACACCCCAGCGTGATTCCCCAAACCGGTTCAACAACTACCGTAACGTTAAACAACGTTGTCTGCGCGAGATAACATCTCTATTCTTAACTCATCACTACTGTGGCCAGGTGTCGGTGACTTAAACAAACACGGAGCTACTTCCACAGGACAGTACTGTTCAACCCCACGGTCCACCAGCGACGTTTAGTTCACAACAACCGAGCAGTGAGTCCACGGCTCGCTAGCTCACAGGAGGCTAGCGCTGGGGGGGGGGGCATGCTAACGTTAGTGCGCATAGCACACCGTGGTAAACGCATGATACGCTTATTATAAGCGTACAACAACCGCGTTAGCACACCCGGTGGCTTTCTCACAACCGGTTTAAACCCCGAATTAAGTTTAATGCAACTTTGTCCACTTTAAGAACCATTTAAACTTTAGTCAGGATGCGTAGTGTCGTTCACCAACGTTAGCTTGGCAAGCTCAACCAACCCCTCCTCCTCCACCGACCAACACACAGAAAAACCCCGTCCGTCGCTAGCCACCCACGCCTCGGATCCCTTTAAATTGCCTGGTTAATAGTAACCAAACAAAAAAGGCGTTTAAAAATAACTTATTCGCGATATATTTCGTTGAGTTGGGGTGACCCGGTGATGTTTCCCCAGCTGTAAAAGGGGCAAACAGCAAAGCACACAGAGAAGGATGTTTAAAAAGTGGTCAACCTAAAATTACAAAGAAAGAACCACGGCTAAAATTAACACGATCTTAAGGAATGACCCCGCCTCCGAGTCTGCCATTGAAAGCCGGTCTAATTTCCCCACACGGAGTAGTTTCATTCTTACAACACCTTACCTGCGATGTGCTCCCCTCGACTGTACTCCTGACTCGGATCTGTCGATAATATGGTGAGCCCAGCGTGTGAGTGTATGCTGGATGCCAATGTGTGTGTATGCGCCCAGTGTTCGCTTGGTGTCAGCGTGAAATGTGACAGACCGTCAACGCTCAAGTCGGATTTCACCAGGCGTGACCAATCGAAACCAGAACAAAGAAAGTGTTTGTAGTTGGTTTCGGCGTACACCTCTCCTCAACATTCGCCGAGACCAAAAGAACACGAAACTATATTTCAAAGTGTTTTTCATGGCGTGTTTGCGTTCACTTTATTTTAGAACCACGAGTTTACTTGGTGATATGAATTCGTCGAGGATCGGTAGTCGATTATATCTCCTGGTAAATCAGAAGCTGCGGATAGCAGAGGCAGGCTAAAAGGGGCTTTAAATTATTTATTTACAAATACCAAGCCTACCCATTGCAGCTGTTTCTGCTGGAGCTGGAAGTTCGCTTTAAAAATAAGTATTTGCTGTGTTTGCCAAAGTTGCGTACCATTTTACAGTTGCTAAAAAACACACACACACACACACAGATAGACAGAAAATAAACTGTGACGAACAAAAAAGGGGATTATTCACCCTACGTCTCAAATAAATTGGCCTAATTAAATATTCACCATCAAGGCTAAACGAGGCGAGTCTGCTTGTGTGACCCTCTGCTTGCCTTGCGAGTCAAATGTCTTACGGATAGAACATGTTTGTGCACGTGTCCTCATCCTACACACGCCAGTTGAGCTCCGTATGCTCTTATAGTGAAATGTGGTCATTTGTCATAGTTTCATAGCAATGCGTGAGGCTAGAAAGAGTACTTTTTTGTCGAGTTATGTTGTGTCAAAATCAGCATATGGCCAGCATATTTAATATGTCTGACATAAACTAGTGTAAATGATGACTGCTGATATTATGTGCATCATCTCTGTGCGGGTGTGTGTGCGTGAGGGGTGTGATGGATGGCATGTGAAGGGAAGCATGCATGTGATCTCGGTCTGTCTGTCCTCTGTCTCACACACACGCATACCTAAACCCATCCCAGTCCATCTCACCTCCCATATTCCCTTGGTCTTCTCTCTCATTTCACACACACTCAAACCCAACCCATCAACACTAGTCCTTATACACACCCAACACACACACACACACACATTCTCTCCTCATTACACTCCCTTTCCCTACTTTGATGATATGCAAATATCCCTCCCACCTCAGCCCCCCCCCCCTCTCCCGCAAGCCTACACACACACACACACATCACACACAGCCTAATGCGCTGTGGCAGCGTCCACAGACAGGCGGGGAGGATCAATTTTTCACCCAGTGTGCTACCGATATTCTCAAGATAAGGCCACAGAAGAGGGAGGGAGGAGAGAGAGCGGTGGGGGAAGGAAGGGGAGAGACAGGGATGGGGATAAGGAAAATGGCGAGTGGGTGTAATGAAGGAGAGGGAGTGTGAATAAAAGGTGTTCAGGCATAAGGGTGAGTGGGAATCTGTGAGAGGAGAAAGCAAGAGGACTAAGGAGCATTTATAGGGAGGATGAACACGGGTGAGAAAGTAGGGAGGGTGTGGGAAGTCTCGTGGGTGTGCGGGAGGGTGGAGGCAGGATGAGTAAGTGGGTTAAGGGTGGTAGGAAAGGGGGATGGGGTGTAGAGGGCTCTGGGGGATGGGGTTGGGAATAGATGGGGTGGTAAGGGAAACGAGGGATGGTGTGTGTTTGTGGAGGGAGGGTTATTTTGCTGACGTGCTCTCTTATTGGCTTGTTCAAACGCTGGGGGAGGGGCGGCCACAAACCATACTCTCACCAGCTGTAGGGAAGAGCAGAGAAACAAAGAGAGAGAGAGGAGAGAGAGGAGGGGGCAGATATGTGTTTTAATGTTGATATTCTGGTCTAATTAGATTCCTGTCTAAGTAGCGGAATGAATGGTGCTGATCAGATAGAAATAGGCGTTGCAGAAGAGGCAGCAGGCTTTGTTTCAGTTGGAGAAATCTGTTGTTAGTGCACATAAGGGGTTCTTGATCTATAATTCAATTTCACTCGAGAGACTAAGAGGAGCAAATTGCTATCACTGTCTCTTACATCCATATTCAAACTCACATTTATTTGTTTAGTGTGGAAAAGGAGTGAGTGCCTTCTGAGGAGCAGCTGAATTTTAGATGGCCTGTCATTGCTGTAATGCCTCCAGGGTTACCTAATCATTAGGCAATATGTTTTTGAAGGTATGTGACAAGGTGTTTCAAATGATCCAAGTGATTGAAATGTCTTAGTCCAGATACAAAGTGCGTTACAAAAAAACTAAAACCTATATGGCACAGTACGATGTCTTCCTCGTCTATATGTAGTGTAAACATATTTACTGTCTTTAAACATGTCCATAAATTTAAAAGAGTATTAAGTAACACGCATGAACAGCATAGAAACATAAATACCATTCCAGCACACACAAGAAGGCAGACTGAGAGCCATGTGTTTGTGGAGCCCAGCTGAACCTTGCCTGCTAAACCAGTCCGCTGGCTGTGACAGACTGACAGGCAAGGAAACAGAGAGGGAGATGTGTGTGTGTGTGTGTGTGTGTGTGTGTGTGTGTGTGTGTGTGTGTGTGTGTGTGTGTGTTTTGTTAGAAGAGTACACAAGAAGGGAAATTGAGACAAAGAGGCAGATTGACCAATGCAACCAGACAGAAAAATAGAACAGAAAGGAAACAGACAAACAGAAGAGATGTAGCAACAGAGAGAAACATCCACCGAGAAAGAGAGAGGGACGCATACTGTAGTCATACATGCAGACTTAAAGAGAGAGAGAGAGAGAGAGAGAGAGAGAGAGACGAAGAAGCCAAGCTTTCTGTGGCTTAGCCAGACTGGAGCGGGGGGACTTGGCTGGCTGTGGACCCTTGGCTTCTCTATTAAAGCAAGGAAGAAAAAAAATCACAGTCAAAAAATGAAAAGGGCAAAGAGCTATGCCAAGAATGCACAGGCAAGAAGCAACACATTAGGTTTTTTCCTTCTGCCTGCCTCTCTGTTTCCCCCAAGCAGATCTAAACAATAGGTGGGACCAGCCACGAGAACTGAGCGCTATACATACAGAACCCTGCTGAGTGACTGAGGTCCACTCTTGAAGTTTGAAAGTCTGATGAGCCCCTAACACATTTTCGTTTTTTGTTTCCTCTTAAGTAGCTTTAGGTTTGTTAAACTCATCGTATTCCACACAATCTGTCTGTTTCATTCACTTTTATTCTTTATTAGCTTGTTCCAACTCTTCATTGAAGCTCTATGATGTTTAAGCTGAGTGAAATATTCACACCCAAGAAAGAGATGGTTTTTGACTGCATCATTCAATCAAAAGGAACATTTTTAGATGTATTTGTCCATCATTCTGTGCACATGTTCACCAAATTCAGTCTGACATATGTGCCTTTGCAGTCTCAATTAGAATTTATTACAAAGTTCTGTGGGTTTGGTCAGTGTTTCGCTGCATGCCCTGAGTTTGTAATGACTTGTTCATTAGCCAGACACAGTATGTGGCCACTAGTGTTACTAAAAATGTTAAATTTCTACATCATTTATCACACGTATCAGTCAACGGCCACACCAACAACTCTGCGAGGCTGTACTTAGGCACTGCGATGCTCTGAGCTAAATGATAACATTTTCTTATAATCACATCACAATGCTAACAGGCTAACAGTTATCCCTGTTGCCGAGGTTCACCATCTTAGTTTAGCGTTTTAGCATGCGAACATTGAAATAAAAGCACAGCTGAGGCTGATGAAAATATCAAGTATTTGATCATAAACCAAAGAATTGCACACATTAGAAAACATGACTTGAATATGAACCTAGAGGATAGGGTTAGGGTTAGGGTTAGGCTGTTGTAAATCATCCTGAGAGGGACATGAACTTCTCAACCAAAACAGCATCCATCTGGTAGATGTTGAGATATTTCACTGAATAAGTGGAAATGTGACCTGCTGGTGGCGCTAGATGAAAAGTACCAGTTTTCATGACAATTCATTAAATTGTTGAGGATTTTACTTAAAGCTATGGCGGCCTTGCAGGAAAAGTCAGGAGATCACCAATGTACGTAGGATTCATCCTCTGGAGACCATGAATGTTAAATGAATGAATGAATTTCATGGCCATCCATCTAATAATTATTGAGATATTTCAGTCTGGACCAAAATGGTGGACCGGCCAATTGGCCAACCAGCTGGACACTAGCTGGGCTAAAAGTCTCAACTTGGCCTTTACTGTGTTTACTCTCTTTTGTTAAGCAGCTGTTGATGTTAACGGCATCGCAGCAACAAATGGATGGTAGAAGTTTAGTTCTTGGTGTTCATGGTGTGTGATAGCATAAGTAGCCTGTTTGTGTTTGATATTTCAAGTGCTGTGTTAGCCATTTGGAGGATATGCATCGCATATCAGCCCTAAAGACAATTGAATGTCGGAGCGGCGTCAAGACCTGTGTCATTTCTGTCACTGGCACACACACATGAACAAAGATCATTGCTCCATTGGTTTCTTCACAGTTCATTCAAACAACAAAATATCCTATAATGCAATCTGACTGACGAAGCTACTCAAAGCTACTAATCATGGAGTAATAGTCGCTATGCTATAATCATATCACTCGAGGCATGAGGGGATTTATAGGCTTTGCCAGATTAATATGAAAAACAAGGACTTGTTTTTCTGACTTTTCCATCCACTGATACCCTAAGTAGAGGATTATAGCCTTTAGATCATCTGACTCCAGAAAAGCTGCACAGAGGGGGATACTTGTGGTAAACACACCCCAGAAATGGCTAGCAACACACCACGGTGCACCAAAACAGCTGACCGGCGTGCCAGATAAGCACCAGAATGGCTTTGAAACAATAAAGGGTGAGATATACTCTTTGGCTTTGTTAGAAAAGCTAAAGCTGTTTCTCTTTGTGCTGTTGCTGGTCTGATGATTCAAGGAAAAGTAATTCCGAAAATTGATATTTTCACATCAACAATTGCCAATATCAGAGGAGAGCAAACAGGTAGCACAAAGTAAATCACTGTGAGGTCCTTTGGCTATCTTTATCGTCAAATGTTTCAAACGCTGCTTGATTTTGTTTGCCATATGTCTTGTATTGCGAAGCTGATTGTGTGTATGCAGCTGAGATGCAACCCCAAAGTCATGTCATATTCTGGGCTTGGGGGAGAAAGGAGGATGCCAAGAAGTGAAACGTGATGACGAGTGGGTGTGTGAGAGCGAGTGGGGAAACAGGAAGCCTTCCAAAGACTCCTTTCTGCTGTGTGTGTGTGTGTGTGTGTACTCTCATGTACACGCACATGTGATCAAGAGTGCATTTATGTGTGGGAAGAAGGAATCCTTCCAGCCGTTTTCTATCCTAGCCTCTTCCTGTGTCCCCCCCCCCCCCCCCGCACACAATTCTCAAAGCCGGCGTCGGAGGGTTTGGCCTCGACAAGATCCAACCCACCAGAGGAGAGGGAGGAGAGGAGCCAGTGTTTCTCTCCCCTTCACTCTCTCTCCTCGCAGCTCTGTCTGTTTCCACCACTCTCTGAATGTTACTATAAATCCTGTTCGCACAAACATTCTCACATCTCTCCATCCACTTTGTGTATCTCATATGACTTGGCAGAAGTGAACCAGTGTGAGAATGTGTGTGTTAAGAGTTTTGGCAGTTTTCTCAACGCAGCCTTACCAAAAGATCCACTGGGAAATGTGGTTTTAACGCCCCCTCTCTTTACTCCTCTTGTTTCCTTTCCCTCTCCATTTCACAATTACATCGCCTCTGTTTCTTAACGCTCCGCTCCCTCTTTCTTTCTAATTCCTCCCTCTTCTCTCCATTCCAACCTGTGGAAATCCTCTCTGATTCCTCTTCTAGCTGTTCCTTCATGCTCTAATGACTCTGATCTCTGCTTTTTTCTTTGTGCATATTAACTATCAATTCTCTATTAAAATAATGACATCATCATTTGCATAAAAAACATTGTAAGATGTGCATGCATATCGGCCTCCGATCCAGGATGTAACTCTCCCAGCGCTGTCCACACACAATGAATGCTGATGGAGAGACATGATAGGTTATCCTGTAGGGAAGGCTGGTCAAATGAAGAAGCTACTTGGTATTCCATCCCTCTGCAAAGCATGACACACAGGAGAGGGATGCTGGCAAATATGCAAATGATGAAATACTTCATATATTTAGTTCATCTGGAACAGAAACGATAGATGTATTTTCTATGTGAGGGCTGGAAAACATACCTTAAAACATAACCAATGTTGTAAATACATGTGTGCACATGTGTATGAATAAGCATACATATGTTTGTAAAGTAACTAAGTAAATGTATTCGAGTACTGTAATTGAAGCACTTGCTCTTAACTTCCATTATACTTTATACTTCTACTCCACTTCACTTCAGAGGGAAATATTCTACTTTTTTACTCCACTGTATTTATCTGACAACCGTAGTTACAATTTGGAGATTATGATCAGTTTATACAATAAGATGAAGCAATGTATATCGTTGTTCATCAGTCGTGACCCTTTTGTTCTTTAACATGAAAACTATAACTAACAATATTTAAAGACTTCGACATCTTTGCTGACATAAGTCTAGATGTACTTTTCAGCTTTATTAACTATAATCACTCCCAAAAGCATCACTTTTATGATGAATTTGGTCTCACTCAGATTCAGAGATAGCTTATTAATATTTAACCATCTCTTTACAAGTTTAAATTATTTTCCATATTCACAAGTTGATTCCAATTCTTTCAGTATAATTTAAATTCTAACAATATATAATAATATGATAGTAAAATAAAGTCTAAAAGCTACTAGATCAATTTAGCATTTCACTGCGATGACATCGACAGTCTCACTCATTTTTTTCATTTTTTAAACTTGAAAATGAGACTCAACCGACAATGACTCAAGCGATGTCACTTGAAGTGACATCGCTTGAGGACATTTATCAGACTTCACTCAGCTCCCTCTGGAGACACAACAACGTTTATCACATGCGGTGCTCCCAAACACCTGTAAACACCTGTAAACACCTGTAAACACTTGTTTTACGCTTTACAATTTCAACTAACCAGCGACAACATGAAACGCAGCATAATGCATCTGTGATAATCATACAAAAAATAGAATGCTGACAAAGGTCATTTTTTACAATTATCACTTTTACATTAGCTGCTAACTTTTACTGACATTTTGTGTGCCGGAGTTTTACTTGTAATGGAGTAATTTTACCTTGACTTTTACTGAAGTAACATGATCAGAATACTTCATCCACCACTGTTTTTTGCCTGCTCTCATGCAGTCGTATGCCTCTTTCAGTCATTCATAAGCAAGAAACTAGTCCCATTGACAGTGACTGGGATCGAACCACACAGACGCCTGCCTGTCTTCCACACTGACTCCAGTGGGCCCGTTCTGCTCTGCGAAGTTCAACAGAGTTCATCTTCTTTGTCACTGCTGAGCTGAGGCTGGCCACTGTCTCCATCCATGTGTTGCTCATCTCTGCTCACCCCTGTCCCTCCCCAGGTCTACTTCCATCGGCTGTCCCGAGGGAATAACTGCCTCCACACACACACACACACACACACACACACACACACACCTCCCCCTCTGTCTGTCCCTAAACCAACCCAACCTCACCCTGCCTCTCCTTCTGGCTGCAGCCTCTTTATGTGATGTCATTGAAGAGAAGTGAAGCCTTTTGGTTTGTGTGTGTGTGTTTGTGGGAGTGTGTGGGAGTATAAAGGGGTGTATGGTGTGTGTGTGTCTACGTGAGTCAGTGAGCGGGGGCGTCCATGTGTGTGAGTATGTGACAGGGAAAGAGAGAGAAAGAGAGAGAGAATCGACAGAAAGAAGGAAAGAAAGGCACAAGTGTCAGGTTTCTCTTTTCAATTCAGAGGCTCAACTCCTTCTTTTTAATCTAGAAACGAGGGTGAAAACAGGAGGAAAGGAGAGAAGATAGCTTGGAACTGGAGCTGCTGACAGCTGTTTTTGTCCCTTCTCTCCTCACCCCTCATTGTGTCGTTCTGTTTCTGTCTCTCTTTACAGTGTCATGGCTGCGTGTGTTCCCAAAGCACTTGTATAAACATATATACAACTGCCCATAAAATGATGCCTATTTAATTGGCTTCATATCTGTTATCATAAAGAGAAGGTGTGATTAGAGTTGCGGCCTGTCTTTTTTCTACTGATGATAGCTTTTCAAATCACATCTTTCTCTCTTCCTGTGACGTCTCACTCACCACATCCTGGTTTTGACTTCACAAGATGCTGACATAGCTGCAGATTAACGGTTTTCCTGTCAATTTTCAGTTCACACACACATATGCTCATACATGCTCTCGTAGGATATATTTTCTCACAAAGCAAGCTGAAGTGCACGTGCCCAGACTGTATGTTAAATAATTATATGCCATCATGGTAGGGTACTGTCCGATCTGTGGGAAGCCGGTCTTCTTTGGTGAGTGTGAACCTCGAAGTTTTTACTCTATACGTCTGTCTGCCTTCATCTGTCTGGAATTTTCTCTCTGATTGTTTAGATCTCTCTCTCTCTCTCTCTTCTTTTACTCATTTCACCTGAAGAGGGAAAAGTATTAATATGAAAAGTCCAGTTGTATTAATTCAAAAAAGTGTCATAAAAGTCACAAAACGTCGAAAAAGTCGATGGGATAAAAGAAACGAATGTATCCTATTCATAATAAACCTTTCTTACAGTGGACATTATAACCTACACAGGTGCAACTCATAATTTGAACAATGGCTGGATTTCATTTAGTTGTAACATTATTAAGTGCATCCTGAATACAGACACATCATTCTCGTAACTGGGACATTGTTGGCATCATTCATTACACCAGTGCTATTCCTGCTATGGCACGTCAATCTGCCTTGAAAAAGGGGCTTTGATATTAATTTTGATATGTGCAACTAATGTTTTGTTGATATATCTGGCTCTATTGTCTGTTCGGAGGACAAAAAGAAGGCCTACATCGTTGGCTTTCTCCTCTTTCAAGCATGCACACACAAATGCTCGCACACAAATCCATGATAACAGGATGTGGGTCTAGCCAAATGAGCTTGCACGCTGCTTTCTGGGTTTCCTCCTTACCTTCTGTCTTTTAGTTGAGTCCTCTCCCACACTCAGATCGCTCACTACTAAATGCACAGCAGCACTTAAACCAAGTCTTCTGTTGTTTTTATTTTACAAGCTATTTTTACTTTTCTTTTTATGAGCCAGTTAAGTTCAAACTGTCTGCTGTGACATGGTCTACTTAACTCCTCCTTCAACATACTTTCTGTTCAATGTGGACTTAACAGCAGTCTACTAGGCCCTTAAATCTCACTGTCTCTTATAAATGACTGTAAATGACAAATATTATTGTTTTTGATTGACGAGATTGTCCCAAATTTCAGAGATGCAAATACTAAATTCTTCTGACTTTTTAGTGAAACATCTACGATAACCCACCATGCCTCTCATTATGTCTTCCTTGGTCCAGGTGAGAAGAAGAGGTCCTTAGGGAGGGACTACCACCCTCTATGTCTCAAGTGTCAAAAGTGCAACAGACAGCTCACAGCTGGACAACATGCTGAGGTATGTGTGGACAATAAAGGAGGCAAAATTAAAAATTAAAAAAAAGTGATGACACAAATGAGAAGAACGATGCAGTAAATGTGTCCTGCTGCTTGTGTTTCAGTATGATGAGAAGCCATATTGTCCACACTGCTACCTGAAGATGTTTGGTCCAAGAGGTACTGCCTTCCTACCATGAGAGCACACACACACACACACACACACACACACACACACACACACACACATGCAGTTTCTGAATGTCTTTTCTTTGTGTGAATCTTTCTTGACAGGTAACAGGTGACTGATTTTGCCATGGCACAGTGCAGCTCGTTCATGGACACCAGACTGAACCAACATGGACAAATGCTGACAGAGGCCTACAATAGACCCCAAATCATGACAAAATAGAGAGATAAATATGAATGATAGGCAGCTATCTACCAGCCTGTCCACTTCAGTTGTCGATCATTTACACCTCCACAAAATGAAGTATTTATAAATGTGTGATGACCACTTGATGCCACGTGTAGGTGATTGTTCACTTTTATAATGTGAATTAATTTTGATTGTAAGTCTGTATTAATAAATGCATTTTTAAACTTGCTAACGTCTAACCCTGGTGGATGTCTCAGCCTCTGTGGTGAACTTTGTAGTCAGGAGCCCACATGCTCATATCTGGGCATGCTGGGTGGGTGTATTTGCTCACAAGCTAACCAATACTCTAATCACAGACAACACACGTGCACACACAAAAAAGGGAGTTGAGCTATAATGTTCTCCCTCTCTCCCTCATCAAGCAACCAGGGGAAAGGAGGAGGAAGGAAGGATGGAGGAATGGATGAGGGTGGTTGCTGTTGGCAGGGTAAACCAAATATTGTGCCAGCGGAATCTGCTGGAATGGGTGCTACAGAGACGCAAAGACAGATCTCACACACACACACACACACACACACACACACACACATGCATTCATGCACACTGCTGCAACTGAAGCAGTGTGTCTTGACTGCTGTCAAATGTACTGCACCCAGTGGTGGGTGAAGTACATTGACACAAACACATACACACAGAAAGGGGTGTGCTGACGTGCTTCCCTGTAAAGTGTCATGTGTCACAAGAGTGACATTTCAGGTATTTGTCCTTGAAGGATGGGATACAGAAGAAAGGGGTATAAAGGATTAAAGAGGCAGAGGCAGAAACAATACAGAGAGAGCTGATGGACAAAGGAAGAGAGGGCTGATGGGATTATTTCAACATCTGCAAAGAGCAGAGGGATGCCTGTGTCTCTCCAGCATGTCTTTGAACCTGTCCGTCTCCCTTTCATCCCCCCAGAACCTCCTTCATCCTCCCTCTTCTTCTATCCCTGCACTCTCCTCCTCCCTCCTCCCTCCATGTCTCCCTCACCCCCTAACCCCCTACCTTGATAGATCACATGACTGCTGTGATACCAGCTGGCTGACTGCTCATTTGCATGTGTTTCAGCTACAGTCTCTTAATAGGGAGAGGGGTGGTGGTGGTGGAAGCACCGAGTTATAGGTTGAGAGGGGCTGAGGGTGAAGGGAGAGCAAGTTGCTGTGGAGAGCGCTGGGTTATTGAGGGGCACTGTGAGGGCTGACGGAAAAGAGGAAGAGAGACCATGGAATTATAGAGGAAACAAGAATGAGAGGGGGAAGTAAAATGCAGGAATGTAAAATCAATGTGTTAGGTCTGGCATACCAAGGATTCTTAAACCTGCATTAATCCAACATGGGTCCCAAAGAGGTGCAGCGCTTAATATCATTTATCAATATCTTTCCATGTGGTGGCTGCACTACAGCAATTAGTATGAGTTCAAAGGCAGCCTGTGGGTAGGTCAGGAATCACTCCTCTGCTGGCCAGATAATGTCGACACATGATGAGAAACAACAAATTGAATAGAACCATTTTACATCAAAGAAAAAAAAAATAAGAACGTTTCTAAGGAAAAGTGACTTTGCATGGGACTCAACACTTTGCACTCGTCTTCTTCTGTGTATCACTGTCGACATCTGGTGGCCATAAAAGTTACTACATTTCAAAAGAAGGCATCGACTCAAAAAGCCATCGCAACTAGTTTTGGCCTAGCTGTAATTTTGAAGTGTTTTGAAGACGTTGAACGCAAATTTTATGGATTGTCAAACATTTGGTTCACACCCTACATTATATGTAGTCTATAACAGGTGTGAAATAAATCTTGTCAGAGATTGCTAACGTCTTCAAATACCGCGAGTTCTGATTTCACGAGGAGCACCTGAAGGCAACTCTTGCCAGAAGTGTAATTTCGTGGCGCGCATGCGCAGTGATCAACTAGGAAGCAGAGCAGACTATCTTGACGGATTATGTGGACAAATCGGTGAAGGAAGCCGCTTCCGAATCATTTTTTGAGAGTTTAGATATTCGCGGAAATAAGGGAGTCTTTTAAAAATGGACGGCTGACAGCTTGAAGCAACAGTCGGTGTAATTTAATCAACATTGAATTGTATGTATTAAAAACTGAGCCATAATGATGTCAGAATGCGACCCGACGGAGGCAGAGAGGAGCGAGCCCGGGCTGGACACCGGAGCAACAGCGGTGGCAGCTTCAGAGTGCGACTTTCACTCCGCAGACCCTCCGAAGGTGTTGTTTGACAGGAACGGGATAGGTCTGGGGCTGGTGACGAACCTCGGAGGTGCTGTTCGTATTTCGGACTCGTGTGAAAGCGTCCTAACCGAACTGGAGACGGACGGGTCTGGCGAAGAGGCGCTGTTGTTACCGTGCTCCGCAGGAAGCTCGTCGTCTCCGCGGGGTGTGGGAGAGAAGCGCAACAGACACAGCTCATCGTCGGATAAAGACACCCTGGCCTCCCCAGGTAACTGCTGTGGATCAATGCCACCGAGATCTAATGACCGGAAGTACACACACGGGCAGTTCAGTTCGTTCAGAGCACCCACGCGCACCAGTCTTCATGGACTTGTGTTTTTTTTGTCGCATATGGTTCAACCAGCGCAACACGACTTATTGTTAGATAACAATAAGTATAGATAACAGTGAATGCAACGTGGCCACACGGTTTGATGCCTTGCAAAGTCCTCTGAGGAGTGTTAACCGGTCTACTGGGGCTCTCCACAAGGAGCCCGTCAGTGGCCCCTGGAGGGTCTTGTCTCTGATTTGGGGGTCTTAAAGCGTTTGCTGTTGATAGGATGTAAAGCAGTAACTTGTTGCTCTGCTCAGTAGGAAAGTGCCCAGTTTCTAAGCAACACAAACGACTCTGTGAATGTTATGCAAACTATCCATAAGCCGTCATGGTGCATTGAATGCATCAGGCTCGTGTTTGCATGGTGTTAAGAGTCTGTACCTTGTGTTCCCAGTGAGCTGATGTAATAACGCGTTATCTTCTCTGTGCATGATATCAGCTGGCACTTCGACCTGGTGACCGGAACAGTCAATATTAACAGTGTTTTTAAAAACGTTCCTGTGTTAATGCCAATCCAGCTCAAGCAGGTTTTCAAGCAGATGTCCTCCTCAGCATGGATGTAGACTTTAAAAGGTTGTTGTTCTTTTGCTTATCTGTTGCCAGACTTGCATAACTGCAGCACTAGATTTGGTTTGGACTATATACAAAGTTAAAGATGGTGTAGTGGACAACAAAGAAAAGGTGATCTGTTCACCATGGAAGCAGCATATATTCTGACCTAACTACTAATGGGATTTAACACCACTCACCCTCAAACCACCCACCTTCTCTCTCTCCCCCCATTTCCTCCGGCCTTTCAGAGTAATAATACAATATCGGGACTATGTGTGACTCCTACTTTGTAATGCACAGAACAGAAACACGTGTTGTAGTTGTAGACCTGAACACTGTGTCGCTTTGTATGATATTAAATCTCCATTGCAAATCTGTTAAGTTCTACCATGGAACATGGCGCTAAACCATGTGAGTTAAGAGCTGAAATTTACATTCATATAATCTGCCAAACTGAATTCAGCCTTGGGTTCACACTGTCCATGAGTACTTCAATGGGGCGTTATCTTATTTTAAAGTTATGCAAAAGACATTTAAATCTTGCTACATTTGCATACGTTGGAACATTGAATCTTATAACGTTTTCAATGTGTAACGAGTGAAACACGAATGAATCCAGACTATGAGCTCGCGGTGACTTGGATTTTAAGTTTCCCAGAGTGCAGTGTTGCAACATCTCACACACTGTGTGCACTGCAGGTCAGCAGGACTCTGGAGCTCTGCTGGGCCCATTGACTGACCCGAGACATTAAATATACACCAGGCCTTTGTACAAGCAAACAGGACCATGAGGATGATGAAGAAGAGGGAATGTGGGAGAGAGGAAGTAAACATGCGTGTTTACTTCCTCTCCAACTTTCGGTGGGGTGAAAGTAATGAGACGAGAGCGCAGTGACATTATCACAGACGTTCATCAGCAGCACGATCCAGTGCAAGCACACATCCATCAGCAGGCAGGACGGCTGAATACACACTGAATCTATTGTTGGAAATCAAACGATGAAGATAAAGTATTGTGTCAGCTCTATTTCACACACAGAGAAACTGTGTAAATCAGAGGCCCTCCGCAGCACTTTATCACCATCTGTCTCTAGGTCTGTGTTGACGCCTTGTTATATTAATCTCAATGTTTTTAAATATCAATCCGCTTCCCTGCAGATCACCAACAGTATACCTTCATACGAGTCATTGGACCCCCAGCATGCACAATAATGACCTACATACACAACATAGTGTGTGATAATGTTTCACCACATATATTCCTCCAAATCAGCATCAAGCTCATGTGAACTGTGCGTGTCAGTCAATAGTTTGATGTTTCATACCGTATATTGGCTAAACTATATTTAGTTTAAGTTGGTCGATGGAGACGGCTGACAGTCAAGTCTTGAGGCACATCTCTGTTCCTGCCGGTGAAGTTAGTCCTGGTCATAAAATCTAGTGCTCTACTTTCAGGCATGATTTTAATATTTCTACAGTATAAACTAGTCTTACCAAGTGGAGCAGAAAACACAAGCACAGCCTCTGTTAAAACAGTATCTTGGTTGCTGCCTAGCACTACTTTGAGTTGCACCTCATGCACAGAGCGTAAATCATAAAACATGCATCAGTGTGTGGCTTTTAGATCCCACTGAAGATACCGCCATCGCAACAGAAACAGTTGATGGGAGTCCTTTTATAGTCGCAATGTTAATTAAAAGACTGACTATGATAGGACATTTTAATGTGTCGGTGATCCTGACATGAAATGATCCAAGTCCCTGAGATCATCTTTTGTTTATCTTCCTTCTATTCCCTCGTTTTTAATGTGCTTCTCTCTCAGCCCCCCTTCAAGTAAGTCAGCTACAAAGCTATCTCTGGTTTCTCCTTCTCCCTTTGTGACAAAACGTTATATTAACTGTCCTCCCCCTCTCCCCTCCTCCTCCCCGTGTCTGTCCCTTCACTCTCCCTGCATCCCACTGCTGATACAGAGCGTATGGAGCCTTTCTGTCAGCTGACTGCTCCGTCCCGTGTGAGGAGGAGACAGTAGAGAACGTGTCGTGTCGTATCATCGGGCCTTCATTGAAGGAATAATTAGCACCCAGTGTCATCCACAGAATCAGATCAGATCTGCAAGGCAATAGAAAGTGTTTTCTGATGAGTTGCAGTCACTACATCAGCTCACAGATGGAAGGTACTGGAGTTAAATCCACCCGCCCACTCAGTGTGTGTGTGTGTGTGTGTGTGTGTGTGTGTGTGTGTGTGTGCGCAGTATGGATGTTCTCTGTGCCTGTGTGGGTTTCATCCTGCAGTCCAAAGACATGCAGGTTTGGTGAAATCAATGTGAATGTGTGTGATAGACTAGCCACCGGTCCTCGTGAGTGCTGGGAACAGGTCCAGCCTCCCATGACCCTGAACAGGATCAGCTGTTTAGAGGATGGATGGATGGATGGATGGCTCTAGTTGCCTCTCTCACATACGAACTGTGTGCATGATGGGAGACAGTGGACCGGGTGAGACTGACCCGTAGATAAGCCTACAAGCATTCAGAGATGGACTTATAGGCTTTTTTTTTTACAATCTGTGTTCACTTTAAAACAGCTTTTAATAGAGCATGAACATGAATATCGATCTGATTTTGTTTTTGTTCTAGGTACCGGCAGCGGAGACTTTAACCATTTCCCTGACGATCCCGAGTTTGCAGATATTATCCAAAGGGCGGAACAAGCTATCGAGAACGGCGCCTTCCCAGAAAGGATCTCCCAGGGTTCCAGCGGGAGCTACTTTGTCAAAGACCCAAAAGGGGTAAGGAGGGGATGGAGGAATCACACATTCATAGGATTATATACTCACTTTCCCCAATTCATCCAGCTGTGTAGACGTTCTAGCTGCTGATGGAACGAGCTAGCGTTTGACTCTTAGCTTACTGTAAGCTGCCTATCAGGAAGGTCTACATTGGTCTCAACCAGTCAAGCTGCTCAGAGGAGTGAGTTGCAAGGTTAACAGGAGGAATTCGTAGTGAAGACTCTTTGAATAATGCAGCCAGCGAAGCTTGACTCATATAGCAGATGGCCGTCATGCACAGCTGGCATGTTTAATGTACACTGTGGGGGGAATAAATTGATCTTTAACTTGTTAGCAGCATCTCTGTCACTTTACATTTGCTGCTATAACTTTACACACCTGGCCTGTTGTTCTTTAATCTTGTTATTTAAAGGTCCCATAAAATGAAATATGGCAAGTTCTGTCGCGGTTCTGTCCCAGTGTGTGCTGTACTCTCCCACAGTCTGCCAGATACCAAATATATGTTTAAAATGCATTTCTGATACAACACTCTTCATGATTCTCTTTTCCTTCCACAGAAAGTCATCGGTGTTTTCAAACCAAAGTCAGAGGAACCTTACGGTCACCTGAACCCCAAATGGACCAAATATTTTCACAAGGTACACCCTGTGTGTGTGTGTGTGTGTGTGTGTGTGTGTGTGTGTGTGTGTGTGTGTGTGTGTGTGTTCTCTGTGTGTGAACGATCTGAAGGAGCACAAGCAGCAGTCTAAACCAGCTTTTCTTTCCTCCTCTAACCAGCTGTGCTGTCCGTGTTGTTTCGGCCGAGGCTGCTTGCTGCCCAACCAGGGTTACCTCTCGGAGGCTGCTGCCTCACTGGTGGATACCAAACTCGGCCTGGGAGTGGTGCCGAAAACAAAGGTGGGGGCTCTGACTGCATGCATGTTATTGCATTTCAACACATCTCCATCGACGGCACCACTGTTCCTGCTTCCACACATGTCCGTAACCGGGGTATCGTTTTCGATCAAACCCTCTCCTTCGAACGCCACGTCAGTCACATCACAAAAAACGCCTTCTTTCATCTCAAAAACATCGCCCGTCTACGCCCCTCCCTCTCATCCTCGCCTTCATCACCTCTCGACTGGACTACTGCTACAGCATCCTGTACGGCTCATCCACCAAAATCATCAACAAACTACAATACAGCCATACATACAACTGTATACATGCATACAACTGTATACATGCACATGTACAACTGTATACATACACACAACTCAGCTGCCTGTCTGCTCTCCCCCACCAGAGATGACATCACGCTTTCTAAACCTCCACTGGATCCCCAAACAGCAAAGAATCCAGTTCAACATTCTCCTTATTGCATAGAAAGCCCTTCACAATCTCGCCCCTTCATACCTTCTGACCTCCTGCACTGACACACTCCCACCCGTAACCTCCTTACCCCCCCTACTCTGTCCAACATGGGGGGGGGGGCATTCTCAGACATTCTCCATCACTCACCACTTTAACACTGCACTTAAAACTCACCGATTTAAAGCTGCTGTTAACATGAGAAGCTAGTTATGTTTCTATAATGTCATCTCTCTGCCTTGTTTATATTGTTATTTGCCACATAAAGTACCTTTGAATACCCTTTTCAAGCGCTATACAAATAAAATATATTATCATCATTATTATTATTTATGCATTTTGCAACATGGCCTCACAGTTTGACTAAACTCGTGTACATGTTAGGAAACAGAACCTTCAGTGAACAACTGAATGGAAATGGATGTGGTCTGCAAGTCACAGCTCTAAACCAGCGGTAACTGAGCGTCTTCTGCTTCATCAGGTGGTGCATCTGGCCAGTGAGACGTTCCACTACAGCGCCATCGACAGAGCCAAGTCCAGGGGAAAGAAGTACGCCTTAGAGAAAGTCCCCAAGGTGGGGCTACGCTTCCACAGAGTGGGCCTGCCGCCCAAGGTAAGTCAAGGTGGAATGTCTCCCACCCTTAGCTGTTGTATCAGAGCAATCAATGAGCAGCTCATCCCCTGTGTGTTCCTGTGTGTTATACCCCTTTAAAACACTTTGTAGCTGTGAAGGCCTTTTAGGTTTAATTAGAAAACATACGAAGATATACTTATAATAATTATAGTACTAACATCTCTTCTGTTTATTTGATCATTTCTTTGAATGTCATACGTTTAGTTTTACACACGTATGTTCTGCTGTTGCGTCGTCATGGAATGAAAGGTTTGAGGGCTCAGAGCAGCTGCTGATGCAGTAACAGGAACCACGTCACACTCTGCTCCCTGAAAAGACAGGTTCATTCAAATAAATAGGTCAGAGGAAGCATACATGTCATCTCTTCTCCAGGTTCTTCAAACTGTGGTTGTGTATTTTTATCTCTTGTGTGGTGTGCTGCTGTAATCGCATCCAGCACCAATGTAAACATTTCATCAACAACGTGTAAACCAACGTATTGTGCAGCTCCCTGTTCCTCGTCTGAGACGGGCTTCTTCATGATCTTTAGCTTTGCAGATGTTTATAAAATGTACAGAAAGAAGTACGAGGAAGGAAGTTGGCTTCATGTTTAAACTGTCATGCACTGCTGACGTTTCGGCCTGTTGGTGTCACAATTTCCTGTTGCATAATTTGCGCCCCACCACGTCATTACCGTTGGAAACAAGCTGGAAACAATATGTGATGAGGAGTGCGTTTGCTTCCAGGTGGGCTCCTTCCAGCTCTTTGTGGAGGGCTACCGTGAAGCGGACTACTGGCTGCGGCGCTTTGAGGCGGAACCTTTGCCGGAGAACATCAGGAAGCAGCTGCAGTCCCAGTTTGAGCGGCTGGTGGTGTTGGACTACGTTATCAGAAACACGGGTGAGGGTGTGTCTGTGTTTAATCACAGTGTTTACTAAACTCAAACCCAGCGGTGTTACGCTCCCCTCACTTTTATTGACTCACAGATTCTGGTAATGATAGAAATGACATTTATCATGTTTTACTACAGTGAGTTTTGTCTCCAGTGTTCTTTTCTAAGTTCACTCGTGTGTTACACTGAATTTGAACTTGTCATCATGAGCATTCATTTTAATAGCTGCCTGCTTGTGGTCTTCCCTCACCTACATATGTTCGTATGATAACCTCTCTTTGTCGTCCTCAGATCGAGGGAATGACAACTGGTTGGTCAAGTATGAGAAGCCAGGAGGAGGAGGAGAAGAAGGAGGAGAAGGAGGAGAAGGAGGAGGAGGAGGAGGAGGAGGAGGAGGAGGAGGAGGAGGAGGAGGAAAGGTGAGGTTGAATCAACACTTACTGAGGGTGTGTTTAGACTCAGTCAGTATATTCTCACCCTGCATCATGCGATTAAACTGCTGGAATGCTGATACATTTTCACTGCGTAACAAACGCACAACACTCTGCCGCTCATTCACACCCCGGCACACACAGGGGCCACATAGACAGGCAATACATGGACACCGCAGGTCTGGAACACATCATTGCCCCGGTGACTTTGCTGCTTCCAGCAACCTGAGCACGGTCTGACTCCCCATCAACAATCATTATTTACCAATTCACTGATAAATGAGCTAAAGTTCGTCATCTATCTTGCCAGTTATTCGGGGCTCTGGGCAGTGATCAATGACTCTTCTGATCCTCTTTCTCCTCATGCAGGATGCAGAGTGGCCAGAGAACAGCTCCGACTCCTGCATGAAGATAGCAGCGATCGACAACGGCCTGGCCTTCCCCTTCAAACACCCGGACGAATGGAGAGCCTGTACGTTGCTCTCTTCTTTCATCTTCTGTCTTTACTAATAATAGTGGAAACGGTGGTTGTTGACTTTCATCCTGAATTCATTTCTTTGTTGTCATTTAGTTAAAAAAATGACAAATCACAAGCTACTAGAGCATATAATGACGGCCTTTATTTATTTAAGTTAAAAGACGGCGTTACATTAATATAAATGTCATTAGCATCAGTTCTCATCATTGGTTAATTAGGTGAAACAGAACAGAACGGTGTCTTTTAGATTTAAAGCCGTTCTCAATCAGACAGTTATTTTCAGTTAAAGGAATAGTTCTGTTCTTGCTGAGACTTGGATGGTAAGCAAGAGCCAGGAGACAGTTAGCTTAGCATTACACCTGTGAATAGGAGGGAACAGCTAGCCGGCCTTTCCAAAGGTAATAAAACAAACAAAGAACATTTAGTTGTTTTGTACAGTTTGAACAAACAGGATCTGACATGTTGAGCTTAGATGAGCTCGTTGGATGATTTAGTTTGTTATCTGTGGAGCCAGGCTCCATGGTTCTCCTGTGCCAGTGTTTGTGCTAAGCTAAGCTAACCAGCTGCTGCATGTAGTGCTATCAATCTACCCTTATGAGCTCTCGACATGAAAGTGATTCAGTTATTATTTTAATTATCACTCCATCAAATA